AAAGAGGTGCCTAAGGAGACGTTATAAGTGAAACAACGGGCCACAGCTATCTACCACGCCATACCACTTACCAGTGCGACGCTCTAGCCCAAATATTCTACAAAACTGGCAGGGTACTTACTACCAGGCAGATTCAACAGGCAAAATAAAGTAGCTAGAAATTCTAGAAATCATTCCCAAGTCTTTGAGGCGTGCCATCTAAATACCCTTTGTGATTCAAATTTTTTGGTCAACTGTGAATTAGGTAGATAGCCATATATAATTTACATACCAATACTAGGAGAAACAAGAATTCAGTAACAGGCATTAAAGCAAAACAATACCTAGAACACCTATTTCGCAAAAAATGCACGTTCATTCTCCTTAAGGGGGGGGGAAAAAACCCAAAAACAGCAAAATCATCACCTTTGTGGATTTATGTGTAATATTCTGCTAGAGACTTTAAAATAAAACTTCTCCTTTAAGTTATGGCTTCACTTATTCAAGACCCTTGTTATTTTGTCTCTAAAGGGAAAAAGAAAAGGCTTTGTTCCACGCCTTGCTTGATCCTTCACATCCATGCTGTGGTCTCCTACCCTGTAGGGAACAGAATATCAAACTTCCTACCATCAGACAGAGTGCACTTCAAAAACTGCAGTTGCAGTGCATATATATAAATAATTAATAATTTAGTTGAATTATGTTTAAAAAAAACCCTGACATTTGCTTATGCTGGGTTTTTATTTTAATTCCTATGTACTCAAATAAAGTGGCCTTGTACCCACCCAAACTTAACCTCCAATTACCCTGAATTTCATTATCCACCCTGCACATAGCTTAATTCTGCAGTGAGTTAATGTGCAATTAAATTCAGGTGAATCCATCCATATTTAGCACTAACTCTGCACTTCTAAATGCTTTCCCTCATACACCAAAACCAACCTGTTTATCTGTAGCTCCTCTGCTGCCCTGGGACCTAGTTAAACAGAAGCCACTTAGGCAGCTGCATGCCACCCAGCACAGCCACTGGCAGCTACATTCTCCTGGAGTCACATACCTCTCCCAGCACCAGAACAGTGCTACGGCAGAATTACAGCAACCAGAATTTGTGCACTTTAGGCAGACTTGAGCAGATATCATAGATAATCTTCACAATCAGAGTTCACTCCTGCACTAACAAAAGCCATAAAATTGTCAAGAAATATGAGTAAACATGAAAGCAAACAATGAGGAAAAGGCTTTCAAAGCACAGCGTTGCTCAACGTCACAACAAAATTCAAGCACACTAACAGAATGCTAAATATATAGGGACACAAGCGGGACCTTGGTGATGCTCCGCATCATGGACTCTCCTTCTTAGACACACTGATACACTGCACTATTTTAAAAATAAGGCTTGGACTATATGCAATTCAGGGCTCATTTACACACACAGATACGCTAATTTGCCTAATGACATAATTTTAAAACTAAGTCAGATTACATAATTTCATATAAAATTGTATGGACACATAGTCTGGTTTAAATAAGTTAATTTAGATTAGGAGAGACGAGATTCAAAACTGAAAGGAGTCACTGCAACTCCAAAGTAAGTCGCCTGACAAAGAGCTTTCATTAGTCTCAAGAAATAGTCTGAGTTTGAGTCTGGATCTCCTCTCCATATTACTGCTTGATTACAACGCAGCTGCAGAAGTAAGGCTCCTCAGCTACAATTCCTCAACTCTTTCACAGCATTGAGCGATATGAAAGAAGATTTAGAATTCTTTAAAACGCGCAAGCGCCTGTGCATGCATCCCTTGTGTTTTGGGTCCTGAGCTTAAAGTTCAAAATCTAGTTATTGTCCTGCCTTTAAAGGAGATTTCCCCCACTCAATTAAATTTAACCCCACCTACACTTTTGCATGAATATTGATTGATGACAAAAGACAGGACTTCAGAAAAAAAAAAAGTCACTTCACAAGTACTATTGCAAAGGTACATATACTTCAAAAATTGAAGCTCCAGTATGAATGAAAATCTTTAAAATATTTTAGTATCTAAATCCAGCTGGTATATTCCAGATGGCAGCCACATAAACAGGCAGGAGTTAAACTGGATTTTGTGAGAATACAGATGGACAACAGTCAACTGGCTGGATCCAGCCTGCAAAGCAGGCTTTTATTTGGCCACTAGGAATGCCAGCTAGCCACCTATTACAGCAGCCAAGCCTAGCCCATGAGTCAGCCAAGCAAACTGGGGATGCTGCTAGGGAA